TAAATAAATAATATTAAAAAAATAAAAGATGACACAAAAAGAGTAAATGGAACTCAATCTTAAACCATGGATTCTAGTTTTAAATCTAACATTTTATTTGAAAATATGCATGTCTTGTTCATTAATGCTATTTTATTTTCTGTCTTCACTTTTATTTCTAAAGTGTTTGTCTTTGAATTCATTCTTTCTCCTTTAGTGACTAATCTGTTAATCCCATCAAATGACTTTTTCATCTTGACATTATATTCTTCATTTCTGAAGTTTGATGTCTTTCCTTTTACACATTCTCAAGTTCTCCACTTTCTTGAACTCATAGAGTATATTTACAATTGCTGTTTTAACACTGTCATCTACTAATTGTAGCAACTGTGTTTGTTCTGGCTATTTCCAACTTATAATTTTTCTTCTTATGGGTTCTAGTTTCTCACTCTATTTCTATCTCTGAATATAGGTATCTTCTCCTTCTCTCCTCCCTCCATCCCTCCCTCTCCCACTCTCTCCCCAGTGTCTCTATATAGCCCAGGCCAGTCCCAAATTTGCCATGATCCTCCAGCCTCAGCTTCCTGATGCTGGAGTGACAGGTATACACCAGCACAGCTGGCTGCCTGATCATTTTGAATGCTGCCAGATATAGTAAATTTTGCTGTTTGGAGTGATAAGATTTTTTTTCTCCATAAATATTTGGAATTTTGCTCTGGAACATATTAAAGTAACTTAGAAATTTATTATCTATTCAAAATCTGTTTTAATCATCTTTGTCTGGTCTAGATCAGCCACTAACCTAATTTGGTTCCATCATTGTGAACTCTATCAAATATGTCTTTTGTGATACTGAGAATCAAATCTGGGCCTTCTGCAGAACAAGCAAGCATTTTACCACAGCTCTTTTCTCATTCCCAGCCCTCTTTCATTTCCATTCTGAGACAGTCTCACTAAACTGCCTAGTCTAGCCTTTCCTCAAACACACACCAAAGTAAAAAAATTTTTTTAGTTTTTCACTTTCTATTTTCATTATTCTACTATCATTATTATTAGCATAGACAAGTAAAATATCTACTCATACATCCACATTTTTACTTATGTATTTATTTTTAGCTTTCTCTGATTTCTATGGATCTCACTCCATAGTCCACGGTGGCCTTGAACTCACAACAGTTTTCCTGCCTTAGTGTCCTGAGTGCTGGAATTAGAGGTGTAAGCCAGTACACCTATCCCCACCTTCAGTTTAGGCAAGTGTGCTACTATTGAGCTATATCCCAACCTTCCCAACTTCATTTTAGATAAGTGGTAACATACTATGCACTTCTCCCTACCTTGCCATTTTACCTAGTAATATATCCTAAAGGTCACAACACAGACATATAACAGTAAGACAGTCATCCCTTTTTATACCTACATAAATTAATCTTTTACAAAAATCACTATATTTCAAGACCATTTATTCAATTTTAAACTTACAGGAATTTGCCAGGCATGATGGCACATGCCTTTAATCCCAGCACTTGGGAGGCAGAAGCAGGCGGATCTCTGTGAGTTCGAGGCCAGCCTGGTCTCCATAGCGAATCCAGGCCAGCGGAAGCTACAGAGAGACCCTGTCTCAAATAAAAGACTGAAAAAAAAAAAACTTACAGGAATTTTAAATGCTAATATACTATCACTGACAATTGCTTTTTACTTACGCCATGCTGAAGGAAGGTTTTGCATCCTGATCAGACAAAGAAGCAATGGTGTGCTGAGGAAATCCTTCACAAATTTAGAAAAAAGAAAAAAAAAGTATTAATTTCTTTTATAGACAAAGAGCAGAATTTTAGAACTGACTAGGAATCTAAAAATGTTTCTACCAGAAAGTCAACCAACTTGTACAAAAGCTCTTTCCTGCCTCTTAGGTAGATACATGCCTATTATAGCAAGATGAAACTATAATTCTGAGGTATAAGAAAAAGTGAGAGCCGGGCGTGGTGGCGCACACCTTTAATCCCAGCACTTGGGAGGCAGAGGCAGGTGGATCTCTGTGAGTTTAAGGCCAGTCTGGTCTACATAGTGAGTTCCAGGACAGCTGGGGCTGCAGGGAGACCCTGTCTCAAAAAGACAAAAAAAGAAAAAGTGAGGACAGGGGAATGATCTCTCTTTACACATCACCTCAGACTCTGAAATTCCTATCTATATTTTAATTATACTGCTTTTAAAAAGAAAATGTTTACAAGTTTCATATAGTCTCTAGTACAAATAAACATACATTACATGATCAAACTTACACTTTATCTAGGTATGTATTTCTGTTTAAATTTTTTAAATGGGTAAAGGATGAGCTGGTGGTAAATATGATCAAAATACGTTGTATAAAATTCTTAAAAACTATTTTTTTATTTTTATTTTATGCACGTTTTGCTTGTATGTATGTAACAGTGCATCACATGTACACCAGGCTCAAACATTATTTTAAATGCTTCACCTATATTAACTCAATCTTCCCAACACATAGTTAGGTATATACTATACTATTTTACAGTCACACACACAAAAAGAAATAGGAAAGAAAAGCTGGCTGGTCATAGCAATGGATACCATTAGTCCCAGCCCTTGGGAGGTAGAGGAAGATGAATCCCTCCAAGATCAAGACTAGCCTAATCTGCTGTAGAGAGTTCCAGGCCAGTTGGGGCTAGGGGGAGATCCTATCTCAAAAAGAAAAGTAAAAAAAGGAAAAGAGAAACTGACCAGTAATACAAATGGCCAAACAAAAGGCAGGAAAGTATTCATTTCATTGGCATTTTTTTCTTCTTTTTTTTTTTTCATTGGCATTTTCAAAAAGCAAATTAAGCAAGAAGACTCCGTTTAAATGTAAAAAGTTATACCTTTTTTTAAAAAATATGTAGTATGTGTTCCATTATAAATTTTTTAGAAAATAAAGGAAAACAAAAATTTTAAATGTCAGGCTGGAAAGATGGCTCAGTGGTTAAGAGCACTGAGTGCTCCTGCAGAGGACCCGGGTTTGATTCCTAACACCCACACGGAGGCTACGAACCATCCTTAACTCCAGTTCCAAGGGAATCCAAAGCCCTCTTCTGACCTCCATGGCACTGCAGGACACAGGTGCACTCACATACATGCAGGCAATACACTCATATACATAAAATAAAAATATTTAAAAAAAATTTTTTAATGATCATTTTTATAACCAATCATTTTCTATTCCCTGAAAAAAATAATCATTTTGAGTAATCTGATACACTTCTCTGAAATTTTCTTTGTAGTTTGTATTACATATCTTTGGGTATACAGTAAAGAGGATTTGTTACTTATATATCAAAAAAAAATTTCTTACTACAGTATCTTTTTTATTTTATTTTATTATTATTATTTTTTTTTTTTGGTCTTTTTGAGACAGAGTCTCTCTGTAGCTGGCGTGGAACTCGATATATAGACCAGGTTGGTCTTGAACTCTCAGAAATCAACAACCTGCCTCTGCCTACTGAGTGCTGGGATTAAAGGCGTGCACCACCATGCCTGGCGTACCACAGTATTTTTCGTTAAATAAAATATCTTTGTAGCTTTCTAGCTTAAGAATAAAGTCTTCTTGGATGACTGCAATGAGTAGCTTTAATTTGACTTTTCCTTCTCTTTATTTTCTAAAAATGCTACAACATGGGTATTTTTTCTAATTATAAAGCATTTAAGTTTTTTAAAAAAGAAATTCTTAAATATTAAAGGATAATTTGTACAAATGAAAACAGGCTGTATAGTGTGACCCAAAGCTGCCAATTTAAAACAAAGAAACACATACCCATACGAATGAGAGAACACTCAGAGCTTGAGCTGGCAGGAGGAGGGCTAACATGATGTGTTAACAGCTCTTTGTAATGGGTTTCATCTAAAATAACATGGTATGTGCCTAACAAGCAAAAGCAAAACATAACAGTTATAGACATAAGAACTTCTATGCAATTCTATAAACACACAAAAATACATATTTTCATTCATAGCTATTTTAACTGAATTATCATTTAAAAATACTTTAAATAGGGGCTGGAGAGATGGCTCAGCAGTTAAGAATACTGGTTGTTCTTGCAGAAGACCCGGGTTCAAATCCCAGCACCCACATGGCAGCTAACAACTGTCTGTAACTCCAGATCCAGGGGATCCAAAGGCCTCTTCTGTCCTCTGAGGGCATTGCACAACATGGGTGCAGTTAGCTACATGCAGGCAATACACACATACACATAAAAAAAAATAATAAATTTTAAAATACATATATAAAAAAAAATACTCTAAATAGTATCCCTAAATTAACTTCTCTAGGAATAGTAGTTACAACTAAATGAAAGCCAAGTTATACAATCTTTACCAAGTATTACAATATAGTGAAATTACTAACTTTAATATTTTATTTATTATTTTTTAATTTTATGTGTATGAGTGTATTACCTGCATGTATGTAAGTGCACCCATGCCATGCAATGCCCACAGAGGACAGAAGAGGGTGTTGGATCCCCTGGAACTATAGTTATGGACAGTGTTAGCTACCATGTAGGTGCTGGGATTCGAACCAAGGTCTTCTCCAAGAGCAGCCAGTGCTTTTAACTGCTGAGCCATCTCTCCAGCCCCCAAATTACTAACTTTTCAAAAGTTATAATAAGCTATAAAAGTCACTCTAAACTCTGACCTACTGGAAAGTCCTTGCCCTAATCAGAGGAAGGAACTGTTTCAACAGTTGTTAGCTGCCATGTGGGTGCTAGGAACAGAACCCAGGTCCTCTTCGAGAGCAGTGATCTTAATCCCTGAGCTATCTCTCCAAGCCATAAAATCAGTATGTTTAAGATTACTGTCTACATTTTGGACTATAGCTATGAAATGTTTTAGGTTTAATGGTTTAAAACATCCTAACTTAATAAACTACACAGCAATTTAAATAATTATTGAAGACAGAAGATATATACCACCAGTTTCACGAGCAAGTACAGTGCAAACCCGAACTTCTGCAGACAATCCAATAACAGACACTCGAATTTTAGCTGCCTTTAGAGTCTTCATAAGAGCCAAGATGAAAGGTTCCAGGGGAAAAGGAAAAATATTATGAATGGTATTTTTAGAAAAATAGTGTTCTGAAAATAATGATAAATTTACTACAGAATTCTCTTTATCATTTTAGCTTCAGTTTCGGTCCTACCTTGATTAGCTCATAAATATTAGATGGATCACAAGTTGTAAGGCTGCTAAAGATGATTAGGACTTCTCTACTTGTATGTCCAGGCATGTGTCTAAAGAAAGGTAAAAAATGTACTCCTATTAGGTCAAACAAATTAGGCTAACTAAAACTTTATCCAAAAAGAATAATGCACATTTAAACTACGAAGGTAGTAAATGTCATTAAGTTACAGCCAACTCTCAATTATTACTCCATACTAAATTTTTAATGTAATCCTCCCCTCTCCCCCTCTCTATCTCCAGCCACCCCCACACCCCACCCCCCCCCCCTCCCCCTTCCCCCTCTCCCCTCACTCACACACCCCCCCCTCCCCCCTTTCTCTCTCTCTCTCTCACCAGTCTTATATACAGCCCAGGTTGGCCCCAAACTGGTGAACCTCCTGCTTTATTCTGAAGTGCTAGGATTCCAGCATGCAATACCATGCCTAGTCATTCAACCTATTTTCAATTAACTATTTTTTCCATAATAACATTCCTTGTGTATTGCTGAGATTTTGAGATTTTTTGGTGCATTTTTCTAAGCCTTTTAAGTATATACTTTAACTGCTAAAATATAAAACAAAAATAATTAAGCAACATGAAACTAAACATCATACATGACATTATGAATTTTTCCTACATAAGTATTTTAATATAACCAGTTTCATGGAGACCCATGTTAACAAATTATTTCAATGTAACTCACTGAAAACATTTCTAAAACAACTATAAATAATACCGAAAACTGGTGGTTGTGGTGGTGGTACATGCCTGTAATCTCAGCATTTGGGAGATAAAAGTAGAAGGATCAGGAGTGTAAGGTCATCCTCACTTACTCAGCAAGTTGGAGGCCAGCATGGGCTACTTAAGACCTTGCTTCAAAAATAAATTAAGTCAGACAGGTGATACATGCCTTTAATCCCAGTGTACAGGAGGCAGAGGCAGTTATATCTACATAGCAAGTTTCAGGCCAGTTGGGGCTACAGGGAGACCCTGCCTCAAAAAGAACCTAAATAAATAAATGAATATTTGTTTAAATAAATTAAATACTGGGGCTGAAGATTGCTTGGTGGTTAAGAGCATGTACTGCTCATGCAGAAGGATCAGAGTTCAGTTCCTAGCACCCACATCAGGCAGCTCATAACTGCCTATAATTCCAGCTCCAGGGGATTCAATGCCCTTTTCTGGGTCCCACTGGAACCTGCACTAAGGTGCACATACTCATATACAGATAAGCACACACATACACATAATTAAAATCTTAAAAATTTAAAATACAATAAACAGAAAAGCAAAATACTAACTTCAGGGTCTGCATAGCCATGCTTAAGGAGTTATAGAGAGAAGGTTCTCCATGGCAGGTCATATCTATGGCTTTCTTCAAAGATGTTATATGTTTCCTTGGGTTTCCTAGAGCAAAATGGAGTAACCTACTTTTAGTAAAATACTACATATAAATATGGAAATGCATGTTCTTCCAAAATTTACATGTCTATATTAACAGAATGCCTTCAATTTCCATATTTATCAAGTTACATTTTCATCAGAAGTGTTTGATAGGCTCACTTCATACTGGAAAACACTAGCACTGAACCATTTCTCCAGACCCAGGTTAATATATATATATATACACACACACACATATACACATACCTCAAAGGCAAAAGAAACAGAAACTGCCACTAATATTTTTGAGATTAAAATTCAGGAAGTTATATAAGTAGAAAAACTGATTAACAAAAACTCCAATGCAAGTTTTATACTTTTTGCTTTCCAAATTAGACATTTTTAAATTTAAAAATTAAGTGGATTTTATGAATAAATATAATAAGCTTATCTTAATATTTTCATGATAAGAGAGTAAACTTATATAAACACATTTACAGTACAGGAGTGATGGCTCAGCAGTTAAGAACACTTGAGCACTTGCTGCTCCTACAGTGAACTGAGGTTCAGTTCCCAGCACCTACTGGTAACTACTCACAATTGTCTATGGTTCCATGGATTTTGACCTCCACAGGCAAAGTGACACATGGTGCACTTACATACATGTAGGCAAAACATTCATACACTTAAAGTAAAAATAAATAAATCTTTAAAATAAAATAAGCACATGGGCTGGAAAGATGGCTCAGCAGTTAAGAGCACTGGCTGTTCTTACAAAGACCCAGGTTCGAATCCCAGTATCCATATGGCAGCTAACAACTGTAACTCCAGTTCCAGGGGATCCAATGCCCTCTTCTGTCCCCCAAGGGCATGACACAGGTGCGATAACACATGTGCAAGCAATACATTCATACATATAAAATAAAAATAAATAAATAAAACACATTTACTTCCAGTGCAATATGTTCCACACTGTGAAGAACTCAATTAGAAACAGTTAATCCTAGGTCCCAAGAGTTTAATGGAGAGACATTTAGTTGTTTTCACCTAAAAAGCACAGAGGAGGCTTCACTTTACCTATCAGGCAGTCATATGAACAAGGTTATAGGAGTATGTAATTAAAACAAAGTCTTTGAGTCCTATAAAGGTAATTTTATGCATACCTGAGAGTTCAGTCAGTTTTTCAGCTCTTTTACTCTTAGTTACAATTATTCCAATCTCAAAATAAAAACAAAAATAATTATTTTAATATAACAAATTCTTTCCTCTTGATTAAAATTTATGGAACACTAATGTCAAAAACATTAACGTTTTTGACAAATTTAGCTACAAGTTGACTATACACTGTTAAAACACTGTACATGTCAAACATTTAGAGTTACTTTGTTTTTCATTACTACATATATCAGAAATAGGTATATAATCTGGTTCACTTAATAATTCATAGAATCCAGGCCCCATTTTAAAAAAAATATATTTAGTAGCAAAATAGGAATCTAATTCTGAATTCTTCACTTATCTACATACCTGACTGATAGGATTTTGATCAAAATATTCTTCTACGAAGTATTCCAACAACTGTTTAAAGAAATTTTAAAAATATTACATAAGGGTAAAATATATATATAACCTCATGATTTTCTGAGGGGGAGAATGGAGTCTGTTGAGACAGGGTCTCACAAAGCATCCCTGGCTAACCTCAAACTCACTCAGTAGACCTTTCTGAGGGGGAGAATGGAGTCTGTTGAGACAGGGTCTCACAAAGCATCCCTAGCTAACCTCAAACTCACTCAGTAGACCAGGATGTCTTTGAACTTTTAGTAATCCTCCAACAACCTCTGCCTCGAGTGCTAATATTATAGGTGTGCTTTTCATGAATTTTAAACTTAGAGTTTCAAAATGTCTTCTTATAAAAATATTAAATAGTAAAACTCTGTACTTGAGAAGCTAGAAAGATGACTCAGGGGTTAAGAGAACTGGTTGCTCTTGCTGAGGACCCAGGTTTGAATCCCAGTACCCACAAGACAGCTAACAACTGCCCATAACTCCAGGGATCTGATGCCCTCTTCTGTCCTCCATGGGTATAAGGGTACTCCTCCTTGCATGACATGGGTACCCTTATATTCAGAAATACACTCACACACATAAAATAAAAATAAAATAAAACAAAATATCTTTAAATTATTTTAAAAATCTGTAAGGTAAGATGGAGCTCAAGCCAAGTGTGGTAGCACACACCTTTGATCCTAGCACCTGGGAGGCAAAGGCAGAGCTCTGTGAGTTCGAGGCCAGTCTGGTCCACATAGCAAGTTCCAGGCCAGCTGGGGCTACAGGGAGACCTTGTCTCAAAAAAAAAAAAAAGAATAAATCTATGTCAGATACAGTGGGGCCAAGCTGTCCCAGACACTCAGGAGGCCAAAGCAGGAGGGTCTCTTGAAGCAAGGAATTCAAGGTCAGCTGTGGCAACACAGCAAGATCTGACCTTGAAATCAAAACCAACAAAAGATGGGTCCATTTGGACTTAAGAACAATATAGCTGGGCATGGTGGTGTAAGTCTTTAATCTGAGAAGGCAGAAGGATCTCTATGAGATCAAGGCCAGCCTGGTCCACATAGTGAGTTCCAGACAGCTGGGGCTATAGGGAAACCCTGTCTCAAAAAAGACCAAAAAAAAAGAACAGTGGCAGAGGATCCAGGTTTGATTCTCAGCACCCACATGGTGGCGAACAACTGTCAATAACTCCAGTTCCAGGGGAATTCAGTGCCCTCTTCTGACAACCACATTGCAGGACACAGGTGCTCTTACATACATGCAGGTAATACACTCATACACATAAAAGTAATAAAATATTTTTAAAAGAAAACAAAAAAGGGAGAGAGGAATGAGGGGAATGGGTGATGAAAAGGACTAAAACTTGACATTCAGCATAAATTTATATGGTTTACCATACCTTTAAAGTACATGTCAGTCTATTGGGCTTCAAGTCTTGGTCCTCCATTGTTCTCGATCCATCTACTACCACATAAAGGTGGCGCATCTACCAAAACAAGAGAGAAAACGTCCAAGGATACTTTGACTACGAAAAAATAGTATTTAGTATTCAATAGCCTATGAATACATTTTAAATATATTCTTTTAAATGCTGTTGTTTTACTACTGTTTATTTTGTCAAGCTGGAATATTTCTCTGATCCAAACTAATTCTAAACAAGTAAAAGAAAAATAACAACATACCATTCCAAGCCGAACTTGTCCATGGTGCTCAAATACTCTGTTAAAATTATATAAACACTTTAATGAAATACCACACACTAGCAAAAAACCTCAGTAAAACTTAAGAATTATTCTGGATTTTTTTAGTGAAGTAAATTATTAGCTTTTGGAACATATTACCACAGGCAATGTGAATAGTCTCTGAAGACCATTTTCCTGTTGGGCAGACCTCACTAAACCAGATAAAATGGAGTACTAATGTTGGTTACAGCAGGCCAGAAAGGCCTAAAGGAATGTATTTTCCTTTTGTAACATACCTAGGAAGTTTCATACCTTTTCCTCTTTGCCTTGAAAAGAATATCTTCTATGGTAGCTTTAAGTGAGCCAGTTTCATCTTCTTTAAGAATTTCCCTATAAGAAATAATTATCTGTTTGAAAAGCTAGGCTAAAAATATTAACCCAATAAAAATAAAAACATATGTACAAAGATTTGTACATGTACGTTCACAGATGAAGCACTATTCACATTGACCAAAAATTGGAAACAAACTAAATGTCCATTGATTGCTGAATAAATAAGCAAAAATGTAATACAGCAGTATAATGGAATACCACCCAGCAATTAAAAAGAAAGGACATACTTGCTAATATATATACCACAACATGGATGAACCTTGAAATAATACATGGAAAGAATGCTGTATAGAATAAGGTCACACATATCATATGATTACATTTCTACAAAATGCCCAAGAAAGGTAAATCTATAGCAATGGAAACAATTAATGGTTGTCTACAGGCAGTGGGAAGGAAATGAGTGTGAAGGATTCATTGGAGTTATTAAAAAGTAGTTTATGGCAATAGCTGTACAATTTAGTAAGTTTTCTAAGGACAAATCACTGGATTGTACATTATAACAGATATAAATTATATACACTTTAACAAAACTGAAGTAAAAGAGAGAGAAAAGCCTACAGGTTTCACCCTACTTACCATGTCCTCTCATAGCCGCCCTCCCACCGCTTGGTTCTTTCAGGTTCTTCATCCATTTTTGTAAACGTAGTATATAGTTCAGCAATCTGTAAAAAGCATTAGTTTACAAATTTTCTAAAGCTGGCTGTTACAAAATGTATCCAATTACTTCAGAGTTAAAGACAAACATAAAAAGATTAAAGACACAGAATGTCAGGTTGCTGGGGTTTTTTGTTTGTTTGTTTGTTTTTTTTTTGGTTTTTTTTGGTCTTTTTGAAACAAGGTCTCCCTGTAGCAGCAGCTGGCCTGGATTCACTAATGGAGACCAGGCTGGCCTCCAACTCACAGAGATCTGCCTGCCTCTGCATCCCAAGTGCTGGGATTAAAGGCATGTGCCACCTCGCCTGGCAATGTCAGGTTATTTTATTCTTGTAATTTATTCAATAATTGTTCTGTGAAAATACAAAATTCTCTTGCAACTTTTTCCTATTTCCAATAAATGATACATTTATGGACAAACCTGGCACCAACAGAAATAGGCATCTTTTTATAATTTGTAAGAAAACAAAACTGTTTTATGGGCGTGTCACTGGATAAGATCATAGTATTCTGAGAAATGAGTATGTGATTAACCACAACCCACAGTCACTACAGCTGAGTGACACACGACCATTCACTGCACTTTCCCGGTTTGAAGTTTCTCCGGATCACAAGGTTTTTTTGTTTTGGTACAGGCTTGCGTTTGGGCTTGGGGGGGGTTGAGACAGAGTCCCCCATAGACTGGAACTTGCTAGTATAGCAGGCTGGTCTGGCTCTCACACAGATCCACCTATGTCTGCCTCCCAAGTGTTGGGATTAAAGGTGTGCACCACCACACCCTGCTAATCGAAAGTTGTTGTTTTTTTAAGATTTTTTTCAACTATTTTATTATTTTTGTTTTATGTGTATGCGTGTATTGCCTGCATGTAAGTAAGTGCACCTGTGTCGTGCAGTGCCTGCAGAGGACAGAAGGGGCTGATGGATCCCCTGGAACTGGAGTTATGGACACTTGTTAGCGGCCATGTGGGTGCTGGGATTCAAACCTGGGTCTTCTGCAAGAACAACCAGCGTTCTTAACCACTGAGCCATCTCTCCAGCCCCTGATCGAAAGTTTTTAAAAATTAATCATCTATACATGGGTAAATGCTATGGCTTATGACTGAAAAGGACACAAAATTACAAATGCAGTATGACCTCAACTATAAAAGGAAAAGACAAAGGAAAAATTCAGTCATTCAATAAGTATTACAAATAATTTCATTTGCACCATAGAATTAAAATTGGTTTTGTTTTGGTTTTTTTTGCTTTTTAAAATCTTTTATATTATTTTTTTAATAATTAAGGACAAAAATTGCTGGGGGATAGTAGTTCATAACTATAACCCCAGCACCCAGAAGGCTGAGGCTAGAGATTAGCAGTAATTCTGAGTCCAGTCTGTGCTACATAGTGAGTTCCAGGCCAGCCCAAGCTAGAATCAGACTCCATTTCAAAAAGGAAAAAAACGGGGGAGATAAAATCAGGATTAGAGTGGAGGTCTTCCTAGCACATGCTCAGTTCCTTCTCCCATAAATGAGGGTCAAAGGACTGTCACATGCCAAGACACTAAGGACAATAGCATAACCTCTGACATTGGCAAGGACAAGCTGACTTTTTCTCTTTTTTTTTTTTTTGAGGACCATAACCAATACTTTATCCTCCTTTTATAATATTGTTCTGTAGGAAAAAAAAGGGGGGGTAGCTAGGAATGTAGCTCAGTTTTAGAGTGCTTGCTTATAAACTGGGCGTGGTGGCACAGTCCTGGAATCCCAGCACTCAAGTGGAGACAGAAGGATCAAAGTTCAAGGTAAGGGCCTGGTGTAGTGGTCAGTACACCTTTGATTCCAGTACTCAGGAGGCAGAGACAGGTCTCTATGAGTTCAAGGCCAGCCTGGTCTACATAGCAAGTTCCAGAACAGCCAGGGATATGCAGTGTAAACTCTCTCTCAAAAAATTAAGCTCAAAGGATGAAGAGATGGCTCAGCAGTTAAAGAGAACTTGCTGCTCTTGCAGAGGACCCAGGTTCTATTCCTATCATCCACATGGCTACTAACAACTTTCTAATTCCAGGGATCTGACACCTTCTTCCGGCCTCTGAGGGTACCAGGCATGCACATGGTGCACATACCATGCAGGCAACACTTATACAAATAATTTTTTATCTAATAAAAAATGGTCAAGGTCATCCTCTAGTTCAAGGCCAGTATGGGATACATGAGACCCTTTCTCAAAAAAGGAAGAGGAGGTGGTTCCGGACATGAAGACCTGAGTACCTATCCCCAGCACCCACAAAGAAATAAATAAATAAGCCATGTATGGCTTCAAGTATGCCTGTAATCCCAGCCCCGGAAGGTGGTGGCAGAAGGATAGGGAAGAGAGCTTGGTGGCCAGCCAGTCTAGACAATCAATTGCCCCAGACTAAGAAACCCTACCTCAAAATACAGGGTAGAGAGGAAAAGAAGACATGAGACTCAATTTTTGGCCTCCATACACGTGTGTACACACACATGCACTATACATGCACATTCACCCAAAAAAAGGAAAATACAACCGGGCATGGTGGTACATGCCTTTAGTCCCAGCACTCGGGAGGCAGAGGCAGGCGAATCTCTGTGAGTTCAAGGCCAGCCTGGTCTGGTCTACATATTGAGTTCCAGAACAGCTGGGGCTACAGGGAGACCCTGACTCAAAAAAACCAAAAAGAAAAAAAAAAAAAGAATATAACCTATAAATGGACTTCTGGAATTAAAGGTTTGAGAGTTGGAGACTACTTTTCTAAGGGGCACCTCTGCTTTTTCGGTTCGCTACAAAGATGTGTTATTAATTAAAATTCTGTACATTTCCCAGTGAATTAAAAAGCCTCACACTATCTCCAGACGAGACTCATTTGTCTCCGAAAATCTGATAATTAGCCTCAATATCTTGAAGAACTACAAGTGACAATGATTTTAACACATGAGCTATTTCAATACAGTATCATGGTATCCTTTGAGTGTAGTAAAGTGACTAAACTGAGCATTTTGATACTCCCTCTTCTGCAGTTACTGCAAACATTAAAAATGAAAATTCTGCTCATGATGTGGCATAGTTGTATAGCACTAATGGAGGCTGAGGCAAGAAAATGTCAAGTTCCAGGCGAGCATGGAACACAGCAAAACAGTCAAAACACAGAGAGGGAGGAGGGATCATGTGCTTCTTAAAACTAAAAAAAAATTTTTTTTTTAATCTTTTTCAAGGGTCTCCCAGTAGCCCCAGCTGACTTGAACTCACTATATAGACCAAGCTGGCCTGGAACTTAAGAGATCCACCTGTCTCTACCTCCAGAGTGCTGGGATCAAAGGCATATGCCACCACACCGTCTTATAACTAAATTCTTTAAAATGTGGTTCCTCCCATCCATCACATCAATATTTATACTCCATTTTGTTTTGTTTTGATTTTGAGACAGGGTCTCAGTGTGTAGTCCGTAGTCCCAGCTGGCGTGGAACTCACTACTAGACAAGGCTGGTCTTGACCTGAGATCCGCCTGCCTCTGCCTCCTGAGTGTTGGGATTCAAGGCTTGAGCCACCAGGCTCGGCCTTACACTGCTATGTTTGCTTGTTAGTAATCGTTCTCTGAAATTAAGAGACAAAATAGTGCCAATGGGTATAAACTGAAAAACTTTTGGCCTGATTTTTTGTTGTTGTTGCTCTTGGTTGTTTTTGTTTTCTGTGGGTATATGTTGAGACAGGTTAGCCCCAACTGACCCGCAACTCGCTATGTAGACTAGGCTGGCCTCAAAGATCAGCCTAATTCTGCCTCCCCAGTGCTGGGATTTAAAGGTGCCCTCCACCTCACCAGACTGAAACTGTAAAACTTTGGGGTCAATAGATACAGGGCATCTTAATTAAAAATGTTTGCAATGGGAAATTGTTAAGTTGAAATGGGAAGTGTTAGGCGCCCCCAAACTTCAGATACACTAATCCACTTCCTGGAATCTAACACCCGGTCCCCGAAAAGCTAAACGTGAGCCATAGCTGTGCTTCCTGTCAAAAGAACACAGGATGCTACCTGCGGCAAGCACCGCGATCGGCGAGGCTGTACCTCACACCTTACCCTGCCTAGCACGAGGCGCCTGACAAGGGTGCGGACAGTCCCTGTTTTTCAGCAGTGCAACTCGCTCCATCCCACAGCCGGAGGCAGATGGAAAGCTGGGGCCCCGAACTATCGTCCCCAACCTCGCGCTCTCCCCAACCAGTAGCTCCGCTCAGCAAGCGGAAGCTGCCCCTCTCCCTGCATGCGTCCGTCCCTCCCTCGTCCCCCAGAGACCAGCCGGGGCACTCCGCGTCAGTCCTGCACAAGTTCAGCCTACACCGCGGCGCAGGCCTCCGCCCGGCGACTCACCCAGCCAGAGGAGACACCGCCCCACCAGAAGTGACGTCAGGATCAATGAGCGCAGCCAGAAGTCCTCCGCAGCGCGCTGGGGCCACGCAAAAACGTTCCGGCTGCTGCAGACAGGGGCTTCCAGAGTGGGGCGCTGCGGAGCAGGGGCGCCCTTCCCAGCCGACTCTTGCTGCAGGTGTGCACCTAGAGCGAGGTGCTTGCCATTTTCCCATGCAAGCTTAGAGGCTTAGCAACCGACGTCCCGGACTCTGACGTTCTTTATTTTCTTTTATCTTTTTTCTTTTCACCTCAGACTAATTCATCTGCCTGAAACTCACTAGGTAGCTTAGACTAACCTATACCTTCAAGCAGTCCTCCTGCTTCAGTCTCCCGTGTGCTAGGATTACAACCATTAAATGCTAATATGGGACATATTTCTATAGGACAAACAGCTAAAACTACAAGTCCCTTGTTTGTTATAGATTAGGGTAGGAAGGCTTTTTATTTAACAAGGAATAAGAGGATTCCCACAACAAATTTAAAACATTTGTGAAGAGAAGGCAGATACATTCAGACTTTTTTCAACTCTTAGCTCTGTATAGATTTTAGAGGCATTTAAGACTAAACCAGGAAGGTGAAGGGGGCACCAGTCAGTGACACATGCCCTCTCGCCCGCCCCCCCGCCACGCTAAATCACTCTTTTGCATTTACCTTAGATCCTAGAAATGACAAAACTGATCCATCAGCATCTATATGACAGGGAAACAAAACTACTCCCAAGTGCTGGACCTGGTGGCACAAGCCTTTAATCCCAGTACTCAGGAGGCAGAGGCAGGAGAATTTCTGTGAGTTCAAGATCAATCTGGTCTACATAGTGAGTTCTAGGCCAGCTAGGGCTGCAGGGAGACCCTGTCTCAAAAATACAAAAAAAAAAAAAAAAAAAAAATGAAACCAAGAAAGAGAAAGCCTAGAGGGACATATTACCCCCCCAACGAGGGACATTATCATGGTGGGGCTGGACA